AATGAATTAAAATGAAACTTAACTAACTTGCTTTGATGTAAAGCAGTGTCAAATAGGATATGGGTTGTCCTTGTCCCATAAATAGTATGTATTCATGGCTGTATCTCGTATGTCTTGTCTTGTAAGATTAGATAATATTTGGCTTCCGTATTGTGCAATTTTAAATGATTGGAAAACTGAAACTTCATGAACTCTTTTGCAGGTACTGTGCATGCAAGGGTTGATGAGATGTAATAGGTGTTTGAAATAAAAAATTAAGTTTGCAATTTGATATAGAAAAGTTCCAAAATAAATTATCTAATGTGAAAATATAGATGTGACTTGAAAAAACACTTATCAACAATGTTTGAAATAAAAAATTAAGTTTGCAATCTGATATAGAAAAGTTCCGAAATAAATTGTCTAATGTGAAAATATAGATGTGACTTGAAAAAACACTTACCAACAATGTTTGAAATAAAAAATTAAGTTTGCAATTTGATATAGAAAAGTTCCGAAATAAATTATCTAATGTGAAAATATAGATGTGACTTGAAAAAACACTTATCAACAATGTCGATATGATGATAAAAAAGAATGGTTCCTGTCAACGTGTTAAACTTAGAATAATAAGTTCGCGAGTTTGGTCTTACTTCGCCTTCAAANGTTTTTAAGGATTCAGTTTTCGGTGCAGTTAAAATTTTGAAAACCGTACAAATTTCGGTGCGGTTCGGTTTTTTGTCCGAATGATGCAGTTTTAACCGAACCGCACCGAATATGTTTTTTTTTTTTTAATATATATGTTAACATATTTGTATTCTATATATACATGCTCATTTTGGGCCTTTGATTTGGGATGACTAACATTAACAATAAATAAGTAAAGTAATAATAACAATAACAATTAAAAATTGATAACACTACATTAAAATCTAATTTCTTGCCTTAGTTTTTTGTTGGAATGGTGTGTGCATGAAGTGTTGCACATTGAATGCTCGCATTCAGCTTTCATTTTTCCTTTTATTGTCTTAGTTAAAATCGTGTTAGCACGTTTATTAGTGTTGTGCGTTTTATTTCTTAAAACGATGTCGTCTTGTACTTGCATGTGGACCATATGCATGCTTCCTTTATTAGGTCATTACTGTACGTTTTTTTCCATTTGGATTGAACATATGAAATAAAGAGCAATATTCTAAATATCTGGTTCTGAAAATTTGATTTCAACATGGTATCTAGAGCAATCGATTTTGGGATCTGAGAGCTAAGATATCTTACCTTGAGCTGCGATTTAGTGATTCTCGTCGCAAATCACTCTGAGAATTGTTGTTTTCTGATTTTGCGATTTCGAGCTGCGAGCTAGCGCAACAATAGCGCGCCGAAGAAATGAGGCTTGGCCACTGCTCAACACCAACACTGCTTCAGGATCGAGGCTTCAGGTGCAGGATCCTCTATTCCTTCATTCCTCTGATAATCCTGGTATGACTTTGGTCACAATCCCTTTAACTGGTAGCAATTTTTTGCCCTAAAAGAGATCGACGATAATTGCCCTCAGTGCAAAGACAAAAATTGGATTTATTAATGGAGAAGTTGAAAAACCTAATGACGATGATGAAATGTACATCCTATGGAAGAAGGTCGATTGGACTGTACTGTCATGGATATTGAACTCTTTGTCAAAAAATATTGCTGAGTCCTTCATATGTTGAATCCTCCAAAGAGCTGTGGGATGATATATGTCAGAGGTACGGAGAGAGCAATGGTCCTCTGAAATACAAGCTACATTGAGAGATTACTAGCTTGAACCAAGGAAATGATGCTGTTGTGGATTATTTTAACAAACTTAAGAGATTGTGGGATGAATATGCCTGTGTTGCTCCTGTGAGAGTATGTAATTGTGAAAAAGGTAAGCAGAATGCTCAAAATGATGCAGAGACTAAGTTGATACAGTTCTTAATGGGACTTAATGATAGCTTTGATAACGTGAAAAATCAGATCATGTTATTAGATCCTTTACCAACTATGAATAGAGCCTATTCTATGGCTCTTACAGCTGAGAGGCAGAAATCTGTACAAAGTCTATATGGTGAGAGAATGGATAATGCAGTGCTGACAGCAAGGTCAGATGGATATGGGTGAGGGAATTTTGTGGCAGGAAGAGGTGGAGGACAATGGGGAAATGGCAGAGGTAGGGGAGGACCTAGACTCACAAAGGAAGAGAAAGCAAAGCTTGTTTGTGAAAAATGTGGAATGCATGGACATAATATATCTACATGTTTCAAAGTCCCTGGGATACCTGAATGGTACAAAGATTTTAAGCAACAGCAAGGAAGAGTCTATGCTCATAATGTTGAAACAAACACAGAACAATTGGATCAAAGAAAGGGTGTAAACACTAAAGGAACTGAGTCACCTCATCTCAATTCAATTTTGCAGCAGTTGAATGAGCTTACACAGTACAACAAAGGGAAAGAAAACACTAAAAACAACATGGACTATGCACAATTTGTTACATATGCAGGTAAAGAAACAAAGGATGGCATTCATTATGCTTTGTCCACAGTTGATGATGGGTTGCAAGGAAAATAGATTATTGATACTGGTGCCAGTAGGCACATATGTTCAGACATCAATAAAATTAAGAACCTACAAGATTTGCACAGTCCTATTAACATTTGTCTGCCTGATGGTACACTCAAAAAGGTGAAAAGCAAAGAAATGGTAGTTCTAAGCAGTATAGTTGTCCTGGATGAAGTGTTAATTGTGCCATCCTTCAAATACAACTTAATCTCAGTAACTCAGTTGTGTGCACACTGCCACAACATGCTATCTGCAGGACTTGAGGAATAATCATTTACTTGGTGAAGGGCAGCAGAGAGAAAATCTCTACATTTTCAAGGAGCAACATGAAGAAAATAGCAAAGTCCATTGTAACTTGTCAGTTGAAAGTTGGCATAGGAAATTGGGTCACCCTTTTATTTCTACCATGAAACATTTTTCTTTTCTGAAAGGATGTTGTGGTGCAAATGATGAAACCTTAGTGCAAAATTGCATTATATGCTTCAAATCCAAACAGCATAGGCTGCCATTTCAACTCAGTAAAATACAAACTACTAAACCATTTGACCTGATACACATAGACATCTGGGGGCCTTGTCATGGAGCAAACTTGACAAACACACCTTTCTTCCTAACATTGGTAGATGACTTCAGTAGAGGCACATGGATATTTCTTATGAGTCACAAGTCTCAAGCAGTTGGACTGATTAAGAAATTTGTGCTCATGACAGAGACTCAGTTTGAGGCTAAAGTAAGGAAAATCAGAACTGACAATGGACAAGAATTTTTGAGCAATGATTTACAGAGTTTCTTCAGTATCCAAGGGATTGTTCATGAAACAAGCTGCACTTATACACCACAGTAGAATGGAGTGGTGGAAAGGAAGCATAGGCACTTATTGAACATTGCCAGAGCACTGATGTTCTAAAGTCATCTTCCTTTGAGTTTTTGGCCATTATCTATTTTGACAGCTGCTTACATCATAAATAGAATGCCTAGTGCAATTCTTGAGTGGAAGATTCTGTTGTGTACAAATTGTTATATTTTACCGAGTACCGAATTAAGGATTCGTTTCCCGGGTCGATCTCTCGCGGAAGGCGGTTCGGAATTTAGCTTTGGTAATGATAACACATAAAACGAAAACAAAATCCTAAACACTCTAATCAGATAAGGGGGTATGAACAATTATCAACTAAGAAATCATAAAAGCAATAATATACCAAAAATATAAACTAACAAAGATGAAGAAGCCAGGGAGTCGGGGATAATTAATTCAAGTTCTAGCAAAGCCGGGCAGTCAATTGTTCGATTCGAGATTGACACTGTCGCTTAAACATCTAGCGGTTCGCTCCCAATAACTTTTCGTAACAAGGGATGGAACTTAGACGAACAAGCTCGAGCATACAACACAGGCCAATTATCCCAATCCCAATAACTTTTCGTAACAAGTGACGGGTCATCGACAAGCACGTATTTCAATCTCAACCCATAAATTATTCAGCTACGAAATCATCTATCTCATGCGAGCCTAGGTCTACGACTTATCCTCTTTCGGTTCTAAAAATCGTTAATTCAATTAGAAGGTGTTTAATCGACTAATCATATGGAATCAACAAGTCCTAACTCGACAAATCAATATTCAATCGTTACCAATTGCAAGATCGAAGTGTCACCCTTCGATTATATCAAACTATCAAGCACAAATTCATCAATTCATAATCAATTCAACTCACATAAGCATGGACAATCTTGAGCCTGACAAATGCACGTTAAACAAGAATAATCATTCCCTATCCCTAGCAATCAGATTTCGCTACGAATATCAAATTCAACAATCATAATAACTCCTCTCAAATAACCATTATTCATGAATCAAATAAGAGAAGTAAGTACTTACAATCAATCCAAGTTCCAAAGTTGAATTCGAAATACAAGCTTAATCCTTAGATGTAGAGAAGAAGAAGAAGAAAAAATGGAAAATAAAGGTGTAAAGAAAAGGAAAAACGAAGAAGCAGAAGCAGAGAAAGGAGTTCTGTTGTGGAGTTATCGGGCCTAGGGTTTTTACTCCCAGGAGGGGAGATAATTCATGTCAAAATCCCGATTGAGTTTATATAGGAAAAGTCGAGTCACGGCGTGGAGGAGGCGTGGCGCGGCACGAGGGAAACAGGCGTCGCGGCGTGGCAGCCTTGGCACGGCGTGGTAGAAGTTGGCTCCGCGGCGCGAGGAGTGGCACGGCGCGGCAGTGTGCTGGGCGAGCTTTCTGTCCAGGCGTGATGGTGCTCAGGTGCCTCTGTCCAGGCGTGGAGGGTCTCGCGGCGCGATGGGCATGGGTATGGCGCGGCGCGGGACACGCAACGGCGTGGCACGCGGAGTCTGGGAAGGAGCGAGGCTCTGTCCGGGTCGCGACGCGTGCGTGGCACGGGACCTGAGCTGATTGATGACCACTGTGCACTACTTCGTGTCCCGGGCTCGTTTACGTTCGTCTGGACTCGGAATTTGATTCCGTTTTCTCCTGTGTATCGCCAATGAAACGCTCTAAATAATTACGCTTGCATGGCCAATTTTTGCTGGAAATCTGGTCCTCCCGAGGATTTCAACCTGCACACCAAAAATGAAAGAAAAACGAAGGAAACCGGAAAAAACACACGAAAAACATAGAAATACTCACAATGATGCGACACATGAAATAAACAACAAAACGACTCTAAAACCACATAAATGAGTCAAAATGGGGGAAAAAGAACGAGAAAATAGACACGAAAAACGTAACAAAAATGGGACAAACATATTCCCTTTGAGAAATTATATAACAAGCCACCAGATTATCATAGTTTAAAAACCTTTGGTTGTTTAGCCTACTCAGCTAATGTGGATCCTAGGAAGACTAAATTTGACAAGAGAGGTTTAAAATGCATCTTTCTTGGTTATGTGAGTGGAAAGAAGGGGTTTCAGCTCTATGACTTGGAATCTAAAACCTTGTTGGTCTCAAGGGATGTTATATTCCTAGAAGAAGTATTTCCTTATGACACATGGAGCATGACTGAAGATAATACAGTGCCTTTGCCAGTTTTGGATGATATCACAAGTAATTCAGAAGAGGAGTCAGTTGATCATTCACATGACATTCTTGGTGAAGACTATGACTGTAATCAGGTTCTTCTGCCTACCACAGACCTTGCACAACAACAATTCCTGGCTTTCATGGCTAATGTCAATACAGAAAATGAGCCAACACATTACCTGCAAGCCTATAAAGACCCAGCTTGGGTAGATGCCATGCAAAGAGAGCTGGAAGCCCTTGAAGGTAATTGCACCTGAGAGCTTACTGATTTACCAGCATGTAAGAAACCCATTGTCTCTAAATGGGTCTACAAAATCAAAAGGAAGAGTGATGGAACAGTGAATCGGTACAAGGCAAGGTTGGTTGCCACAGGGTTTAATCAAGTAGCTGGAGTTGATTATTCTGATATTATTTCACCAGTAGCAAAGCTAGTCACAGTGAGAGTGTTTATTGCTGTAGCAACAATTAATGGTTGGCCTTTACATCAACTTGATGTCAACAATGCTTTCTTGCATGGTTACATCACTGGGGAGGTTTTTATGACACCACATAGGGCTATTTCAAGGCCAAAGAAGGTCAGGTTTGTAAATTGGTGAGAAGCCTTTATGGTCTTAAACAAGCTTCAAGAGAATGGAACAATGAACTTTGTAAGAAGCTTTCACAATTTGGTTTGGTACAATCAGCCTATGACCATTGCCTATTCACTCTCAATACAAATTATCATTTCTTGGAAATTTTGGTTTATGTGGATGACATTCTTGTCACTAGCTCTAGTGGTGACCTTATCTCACAACTCAAGAACTTCCTTGATCATGAGTTTACCATCAAAGACTTAGGGTCAGCAAATTTCTTTCTTGGAGTTGAGATTTTGAGAGATCAATCAGGTACTTTTCTTGGACAAAAGAAAATATATCATGGACATGCTCAGAGATCTCAATATGTTGTCTTGTAAAAGTGTTGCTACTCCTTTACCTCATGGACTCCACTTGCAAAGCAAGGATGGCACTCCCCTTCTTAATCCAGATCAATACAGAAGGCTTAAAGGACGACTTCTCTATTTGGGAATGACTAGGCCTGATGTCACATATGCCATCCAACAACTAAGCCAATTTGTCAATGATCCCAACTCCTCTCATTGGGATGCTGCTATTCACATTCTCAGATATCTCAAAGGAACAACCACTCTTGGGCTCCATTTATCATCCCAGCATGAAGGCAAATTGGTAGCATACAGTGATGCTGATTGGGCTGCATGTAAAGGCACTAGGAGGTCTATCACTGGCTTTGCTGTTTTCTTGGGAGGATGTCTTATTTTCTGGAAAAGCAAGAAACAGTCAACTGTTTCTCTGTCATCAGCTGAAGTTGAGTACAGGGCACTTAGTTCTACTGTGGCAGAGTTAATGTGGATATCTTACCTGCTTCATGAGTTTCATGTGGATGTGGTTCATCCTTTTCCTCTTCTCTGTGATAACCGTGCTGCACTCCACATCACCGTAAACCCTGTTTTTCATTAGCGTACTAAGCACTTAGAGATCGATTGTCACTTTGTTCGAGACAAATTCAAATATGGTTTTGTTCTTCCTATGCATGTCTCCACTAAGCTTCAGTTGGCCGATTTGTTCACTAAAGTGCTCGTTGGTTCACACTTTCACTTTCTTGTGTCCAAGTTGGGCATGGTTCCTTTTTCTCCCAGCCCAACTAGAGGGGGGGCTGTTGGAATGGTGTGTGTGTGTGTGCATGAAGTGTTGCACATTGAATGCGCACATGCAGCTTTCATTTTTCCTTTTATTGTCTTAGTTAAAATCGTGTTAGCAAGTTTATTAGTGTTGTGCGTTTTATTTCTTATTAAAACGATGTCGTCTTGTACTTGCATGTGGACCATATGCATGCTTCCTTTATTAGGTCATTACTGTACGTTTTTCCCATTTGGATTGAACATATGAAATAAAGAGCATTATTCAAAATATCTAGTTCTGAAAATTCGGTTTCAACATTTTTCACTTTCAGTTCAAATTTTGGGCTTTTGGTTTGGTAATGTTGCACATTAGATGATGATGATGTAACTTCATTTTATTTAGGGGTTAACCGAAACCGAAAATTTCGATGCGGTTTCGGTTCGGTTTTTCTACATGTTTCGGTGCGATTCAGTTTGGGTAAATAAAAAATTTTGGTTTTCGGTTTTTGTAGTTCGGTGCGATTTTGCACCGAACTGCACCATGCTCACCCCTACTCAAGACAAGTGATCTTATTAGAAAACAAGTGTAATGGGGTCATTATGCTATTATAAAGTAAGAGCAATAGTGAATGAAGTAATCAATTTAAATGGGGTCATACTAGCAATAGTGTGGCATTTCAAGTGGGCAAATTGGCAAATACCATGCTATTACTCTTATTTCACAATAGTAGTATGACTACATTTAAATTTATTACTTCACTATTACTCTTACTTCACAATAGTAGTACGGCCATTTACACTTACTTTCTAACACATCTAGTAGTACCTTTCAGCGCGGTCACCTTGATACGACTTCTCTCAATTCAGTGAATTCACTAGTCTTGCTAGATTTATAATTCAAAATGCTTCTTAATTGATTTCAGAATTTAATTTTTCCTGTCTTTATTAATAACTTTGTGAATGTTTCTGGTCATTTTAAGCTAACTTTTTAACACATCATTCATTACGCAAATGATAACAAAACAATACAGGTAACAGAAATTCTATTGAACCTTTTTTTTTTTTCTTTTTTGCTCTTATTTGTTTTCACAATGGCTCAAGAATCAGATATATAAGTAAATAAATAATTAAGACTCGGGAGAAAAAAAAAATGGGTGCACACACATGACCATACTTGGCAGTCGGCAAAATTCAAGTGAAACTAACTGAATTATAGTATATATTTAGATTGTTTGTCAAACGGAGAAAAATGAAAAAACTGTACATGTACAAAAAATAAAAATAAATAAAAAATATTTCTCAAATAAATATAGACGGGTCCTAGGGCTATATCTCACGGCACGTGTTCCTAGGCCTGGTAGAGGATGGGCTTATGCTGAATCCTTGACAAGTGAACACATACATAACTTTAGAAACATTGGGCCAGCCCAGGTTCAACACCAAACAGCCCAACGGGCAGAAATGTCATTTAATAACTTCTGCTTTAACCAAAAGAGTAGGCTGAGTAGCTCACCAGTCCTCACTCGTTACTTTTAAAGCTTTCCCCAACAGTCTTGAAACCAACCAACATAGTTTTCATCGAAACACACACATACAGAGTCTTCAAAGAGAAGGAAATTGCGTAACAAAAGGCTTGCACTTTCTCACAGTAGCATTTTAAGGGACGGTGAGTTTTCGATGTCTCCATATTTATCAATACAAATTGGGCTTCTGTAATGTGGGTTCAAATTGGTCGTCTGATCTGTGTTGGTTTCTTGCATATATTTGCGCCTTTTTAGTATTATGTTTTCTGTGTTCATGGTAAATATCTTTTAGTTGGCTGTGGTCTTTGCTTGGTGTCTTGAATTGGTGAGGTTGCTATTTGTTACTTGTTTGTTGTCATTTAGGTTGTACATTTGTAGCTTGAATCTTCTTCTTCTTCTTCTTTTGAAGTGTACCTTTTGTATTAGGATATCTTCTGATATGGATCTCGCGTGCATTTGGCTGTAGTTTAGTTCTAGAAAATGGGATTTGGCTATTCAGATTAACTGCAGTTCTTGAGCGTATGTGTTTATTTTATGTTGGGAGGAAATTTGGATGCTATCTAAATGCAGTCAACATTAATAAATTCTTTGCTAAACGATTTGCCGAAACTGGATTTGTTCGGTTTTATGTTCGTGTTCACTATTTGACATATCTACTGACAGTCAGTTGAGCTTTGATTTGTCAAGAAGACCTACATTTTGCAAGCCAGATGTCTGTTTATGAACCCCACGAGCTTGAGCAATAAGTATAATAGCGGACACCTTAGGAGAACTTTTAAGTGTTACTGCTAATTAATAAATATATTCCATCATTACTGAGTAAAAAGTATTGATTTTTATGCCCTCTGTATGTCTAGTTTCACTTCACTGTAATTTTTACAACGAATTGAATGTTGTATTGACCCTCCCTGAATATTACCCCACAGCATTGTTATCTATATTAAGGTGACATGGCTGCATATGCAACTCCGGGCACTCAAATTCTGCCTCCAAAGCCTCTTGTTCGTGTATCTTGTGCACTGTCCAGATCAAGTATTGCTTATTTCGGCAATGAAACTAAAGGCACGCCATATACAAAACTTAGAAGCTCGTCTTTCCTACCTGAAACACAGTCTTTCTCGAAGATCCATGAAAGAAATCAGTCGAAAGATGAAAGGTTTTGTGTAAAAGCAATGTCGGGAGGTAGTGATAAACAGCCTTTGCCAGGGCTGCCTGTTGATCTGAGAGGTTAGTCATTTTTTCCTTGTTTGGCATTGATTTTTTCACTTTAATAATGCGTACGTCACTATGTTGAATTATTTACAGTCGTATATGTATGTCCCATGACTTGAGAGCATGCTTGACTCTTTAATGTTTTTATCTTGAACCCAAAACTTTGATAGTGAGGCTTTTAAAGGTGAGTAATGGGCAAGTCTACTAAATGCGGAACCAATAAGATCTTATCTTGAAATAATAAAATAATGTGGATTCATGGATCTCCTTAATTTTGTAAAATTGTCTTTAAGCTCCTATACAAGCTGGTCTAGAAAAAATTTCCCTAATATAAGTGAGCTTTATTGGCCGAACATTCTGTTAATTTGTGCTCTCCAATCATATAGTATTGATGTTACAAAATCTTAGTTTCCTGTTTCTGATAAACTCAAAACACGTTTCCACGAATTACCAATGTAAATTGCATATATTCAGGTAAAAGGGCATTTATTGCCGGTATAGCTGACGACAATGGGTATGGATGGGCCATTGCAAAATCTCTAGCAGCTGCAGGTGCCGAAATTCTCGTTGGTACTTGGGTTCCTGTATGTACTGCACTCTCAGAGTTTTCCTTTTTCTTTTTCATTCTTTTTCTTTTTTTTTTCTGGTGCTAACGGCAATCTAATCTCTAGGCACTGAATATCTTTGAGACCAGCTTACGGCGTGGGAAGTTTGATGAATCACGGGTGTAAGAGTTTTGACTCTTTTTTTTTAACTTCTTGTTTACTTATCTGTTTTGCTATGTTTGTAGATTCACTATTTTACGGAATTTGTACTGTTAGGCTGCCAGATGGTTCTCTAATGGAAATTACGCAAGTCTACCCACTGGATGCTGTTTATGACTCTCCTGAGGATGTTCCTGAAGATGTAAGAATAAGCTTTTTGATGATATCCCAATTCTTGATGTCATATTTTATGTGTGTTTACATATTAAATTACACGGTGACGCAGGTCAAAACAAATAAACGCTATGCAGGATCTTCAAAATGGACTGTGAAGGTTTTTTGGCTTCTAAACTTTTTCTTATTCCTTTTGCCTTCTCTTACATACATAACAGGACTTTCTTGTGTCATTACCACTTCAAAAATGTAGCATTGGTTGTCAAAATAGTGAAAGCTCTCTCTTGCAGGAAGTTGCTGAATCAGTAAAACAGGATTTTGGCACGATCGACATTCTTGTTCATTCGCTAGCCAATGGTCCAGAGGTGTTCCTTTTGTCTTAAATTCTCCTTTTTTTTTTTTTTTTTTTTTTTTTTTTTTTTTTTTTTTTTTATCATGTAATTTGAAATGTAACGGTTTTTTTCTCTTAAATTGCAGGTCATTAAGCCTCTGCTGGAGACGTCTAGAAATGGTTATCTTGCAGCAATCTCTGCATCAAGCTATTCGTTTGTTTCTCTCCTCAAACATTTTATTCCCATCATGAATCCTGGTATTTTCAATGCATATTTTCCCTCTATTATGAAATGAGAACTTACATTAACTTAAAAGATAGTCAATTTGTCACCAATTAATCATCCTTTTGCTAATTTTTCTCCTCATCTCTACAGGCGGTGCGACAATTTCTCTGACATATATCGCCTCCGAGAAAATAATACCCGGGTACATTTTCCATTGATTTTTATCCTAACTACTAAAATTCCTTGATTAGCTTTAAAAAAATATTATACAAATACCCTATTGACATCTGTTTATGTTTAACTAATTGCACCTCATTGGGGGTTGTTGGCTATTTGAAAGATGATTCGAATTTTTTTTGTTTCTTTTCGAAAAAAAATGACCACATTGGGATTTACCTTTTGTTTTCCAGATATGGTGGTGGAATGAGTTCAGCTAAATCTGCTTTAGAGAGTGACACAAGGGTTGGTCTTTATTTTTATTTTTATTTTTATTTTTATTTCTGTTTGCCCATTCTTACATTACCATGATGTCTTAAGACGGCCTATCTATGGTTTAGGTGCTTGCTTTTGAAGCTGGAAGAAAACACAACATTAGAGTCAACACCATATCTGCAGGTATTTCGAAAAACATTACTTGTTGATACCTAATTATGTTTAAAACCACCATTTATTTTTCCAACTAATTTGCAGAATCACAATCATGTTTGCTCGTCAGTTTTTCCACCTGAAATCCTCATTTTTTTATTTTTCACTTTTCAATCACTGATCGAATCAATCACCAACATTACGTGGGGCCCACCAGCCACCACTATGTACTGAAAAAAAAGCACAAGGTTTTGAAATTTTAGATATCTAATTGAACCCCCACCACCTTCTACCATATTTAAAACTAGTGTATAACGGATGCACGGATGAGCTCATATTTTAAACCTTTTTTAGACTTTATTTTAAATATTTGTTTATATTTTTTCACATCTCATCTCATTATGGAAATAGAATAAATACAAACAATGAAAAATATATATTATTAAACACTTCTCTTTACACAATATTTTTTATTTAAGAAATATTATTAAACCTTGCAGTTTTGATTTTTTTTTAAATCAATTATCCAATCAATGATTGTTAATGTACAAAAAATAATTGAAAGAATCCACTTTAAAGTAAAACTATTTTTTATTTTTATTTTTACACATCAAAATCATCTAATTTTTTTAAGCACTTTCATATCCCAATTTCAATGTTACTTCATACCAATTTATTCAATAATCAACCATTAGTAAATTAGTGGTCAAATTAGAAGAGAAATCCAAATATTATCCTATATCATCTTTTTTTTCTTTCTTATTTAGATTTTTTTATCAAACAAATAATAGAAAATTATATTCTCATCATATATTTAATTATTATAAAATCAGTTTCAATCTAAATAAAGTAACAATTTAAAATTATTACAAAATCAAATTCAATATAATTAAAGTAACAAATTAGACAACATAACATTTGAAAATTTCAACTTACGTCATCCCATCAGAAACCAATAAACGTATCAAAATTTTAAATGTTTGAGGAGAAAAAATTAGTTGTGCTTTCAAAAAGAATTTTATTTTAACATAAGGGTAAATATAAGGAAAAAAATCTACACGGGTGTTTATTAAATGTTTCAAAAACATCCGTACAGGAAAATCAATAAACAAAATATTTCATTAATTTTTAACATAAGAAAAAAATAAATAATAAATGTTTATTAATATATTTAAAACTATAATTTTGAATTTCAAATAAAGTAAAGGGCGAGATAAATATGTTTTCAAAAAGTTTCTAAAGTGTTTAAAATTCTAGTAAACGTCCTCGAAGAGTATTTAGAACGTGGAAAGCAATTAGGAAAAGGTAAAAGCGACGCCATAATTTCTTTGATCCCTTCATTTATGTGTTTACTTGAGGCATTGATGAAGGGTGGACGGTACTCTCCGGTTGTCATGGATCCATGGCCACCCTAAGAGAAGAGTCAAATTGGTCTCGTTATCAATGACGTAACAAGTGACCTTCGTTTTGAGTTTTTTCCTAAGAATAATCTTACCATTTTAATTTTTTAAAAAAATTGACAAGTTTATTAATGAGATAAATTCAGTTAGGCAAAAGATTAATTAGTTAAAATATTACAATAGTTATGTTTTAATAAATTCGGTTAGATAAATGGTAATTATATTAATTAGTTTGTTAGAAATGTGCGTGAAGATAAAATGAAATGTACCTAAAAAGTTTGTGATCTTATCTTTTAAATGTTTGAATTTAAAAATCTAGTAACCAAATTTAGATTATATCACGTAAAGAAAAAATAAATAATAAATATTTATTAATATATTTAAAAATATAACTTCGAATTTCAAATAAAGTAAATGGCGGGATAACTCAATTTTTTTTTTAAAGTTTCTAAAATGTTTTAACATTTTGGTAGGTATATTTGTAAGAATTATCATACCATTTTAATTTCAAAATTTGGCAAGTTTGTTAAAGAGATAAATCAGGTTAGATAAATGATTAATTAGTTAAAATATTATATTAATTATATTTTAAAAAAATCAATTTGATAATTAATTAGTTTGTTAGGAATGTGACTATAGGAAAGTTAAGATAAGATGAAATTTAGAGATCTGTTTGATATATTTTTCTTTAAATGTTTGAATTTAAAAATAAAAGAACCAAATTTAAATTATTTCACATAAGGAAAAAACAAATAATAAATTTTTATTAATATATTTAAAAATTTAATACTGATTTTCATATAAAGTAAAAGAAATGATAATTCAAAATTATTTTTAAAAAGTTTCTAAAATAATTAATATTTTGGTAATTATATCCGTAAGAATAATTGTACCATCTTAATTTAAAAAATTTGGCAAGTTTGTTAATGAGATGAATCTGGCTACATTAATGATTAATTAAATAAAATATCATATTAATTATATCTTAAAATATCCAAGTACATAAACGTAGATAAAAAATATTATATAAGATATAATATTTAATTAAATTACCACACGATTTGTTTTTTTGTTTTTGAATTAAATATTATTTATATAAGATATACATTAGTGGTTAATTTTAGAATTTGTTGGATTTTTTTTAACTTTAACTAATTACACACGCTTTCAAAATTTAAATCATGACTAAACTTTTCGATTTTTTTTTTGCTAAAAGAAAGGAAATGTGTTTCCATATTTTTTGGAAGTTAGAATTTGTTGGATTCTTTTAACTATAACTAATTAAACATGCTTTCAAAATTTGAATCCTAACTAAAATTTTTAAATTTTTTGCTAAAGAATCAGCCGCCCAATTTTCAAATTTTTCGAAAAATGTACCATTAATAGTATCTTTTAAAAATTTAAGCGGGAATTTACTTGCTAACTAGTATTCGACACTGTGCATTTGCACAGATGTAAATAAAATTAAATATTATAAGTTATATTTATGTATATAATATAACAATTATAAGTTATATAATTGTATTATATTTCAAACATATAGTATTATAAGTTATTTTTATGTATATAATATTAAAATTATAAATTATATAATAGTATTATATTTTAAAATTTGATCATTGGTTAAAATAAATAGTACACTCGATTTGATTGTATACGAATCACTATATTGATTGCGTAAAATGTAATAAATATATACTTTTTATAATTTTGAGTGATCATGACCAATTACTTAGCTGAAAAATATTACATTTATTATAACAATTGCTTATGTGATTTTAAGAAATTTTACTATGACATAAAAAAAATTAATTTATTAATAAACAACATCTTCATCATATAAAAAAATATTGATTTTAGTGTAAAATATAATTTTATGTAACTTTCATATATTATTTAGTATAAAATATAATTACTAATTTTAATATTAACTATTATATTGTTCAATAAAAAATATAATTATTAATCAATTAACATAAAATATAATGGTTTTTGTCTTAATTAACCCAAAAAAATGTAATGAAATATTTTCTTATTAATGAGATTGGGTGTATTAATGCCACATAAATAAAATTTATTAGGTTCTATTTATTAGGTTTTATTAATGATTTGCCACATAGGTAAAATTTATTAGGTTTTATTTATTAGGTAAAATTTATTACTTAGCTAGCAATTATATATATATAGATATAGATTCAAGTAAATCCCTCCCCTTTTTTATAGTAATAGATTATATTTACATATTTCAGCAACGTTTAAATTATCATATACATGAGAAATACTTCAATACTATTCATAAGTCCAGATCACTGCATTTTTTAATTGTAACTTTATAAATAATTGTAATATCCAGGCCCCTTAAGAAGCCGAGCTGCCAAAGCTATTGGATTTATCGACATGATGATTGACTACTCATTGGAGAATGCACCTCTGCAGAAGGAACTAACTGCTGGTGAGCCATCTTCCCCATTTGTCGTATAAAAAAAAAATATTGAAATGACATAATTATAAAAGTTATCCTTGAGGTTTGGAATAAATACCAACAGAACAATTCCCTCTTAAAATTACGTAAACGCACTTAATCTGTTGTTGAAAGATAGCTAAACATATTTTGTAATTTGGCTAGAAATTGTGCGTGTTTCTCTTCAAATAACCTTCTATTTTGCTTGTGTTATTTGAAGCGGTGAAAAACTCGATTTTGCGCTTTTATAAATGCATTGTTTTTCAAACACTAAGCTTATTATAAAACTGAACAAAATCAGATGAGGTTGGAAATGCTGCTGCTTTTCTAGCATCACCACTAGCATCGGCCATAACTGGTGCAGTTGTTTATGTCGATAATGGGCTTAATGCAATGGGAGTTGGAGTCGATAGCCCGGTTTTTGGTGACCTCAATATACCCAAAGCCCAGAAAAGTTAAGAGCTTAACAGTAGTGTGTTATGGTGGAGAACTTAGAGTAATCTCTTCTCAGTTGAATAAATTTGTGATTGTACTTTGTGGAAAATGAATTTTGATGTATTATCAGAGATGGATTGGTGTCGCATTTTAATCGGGATTTCTATTTTCATTTATTTTTTTTCCTCTTCTTCTGTAAGGATGACTTATTGGTAGTGGAATTTGTGTTTTATTGTTCAGAAGTTAGTAGGCTGATTGAGTGGAGCAATTTGCTTCCTTTTTGTAGATTCATCATGGATCGTATGTTATATTATAAAATATTTCAGATGCTTAATATGTACAAAATCATCAATTGACGGAAAAAAAGAAATAGTTTTAGTAAAATCTTAGGTGTAACGTACTATATTTATTAATCATATCGTATAAATATTATCTTATTTCATTCATAAATATAGTTTTAAATGCTCATTCTATCTGAATCAAAGTAGCAAATTTCTACACAAGTCCCGTTATTGGACACTTTTTGAGTTCAAAATTTCCAATCTTTTACCAATAAGTTTTGTACTGATTAGGAAAAGTTTGACAAATTGTTCGCCAGATTCAAATACTCAATAATTCCAAACAATTTGAAAATTTGAAATAAACTTAGCTGGACTGTTACAGACCCTACATTTAATTGAGATTCATCCACTTATCAAATTCCAACCTCACACGGCCACCCCTCAACAATTTATATAAAAATGGTTATATGATCTTCTCTAGGGACGTAAATGAAAATGAGCTCGAGATCGAGCTTGTGCCAATACTCTAACATATATCGAGTTGAGCGATAAATTAATGAGTTGAGAACCGAACTCGAGTTGAGCTCGTTGAGGTCACTCGTTAACAACTATAATAAGACGAAATATTTTAAAATTTTAAAAAGAATTACATAACAAAAATTTATTTAGAAAGCCTTAACGTGTTTAACAAGCGAAATGTAAACGGGTTGAACCGAACCGAGCTAGCAGCATCTAGTTTAACAAATTTCACAAAAACTTCAAAGTGCAAAAGGGTAATTGCAGTCAAATACTCCAAAATTTGAATTGCCACGAATCAGCCCCAAATCTACAAACCCCCAATTTTCCGCCCACGCTCCTCACACTATATAATCACTCCCACTCACACAACCCTAATTCACAACTCAAACAAACACAAATCAACAATCTAATCGAACATGAAGGCCTCCATAAAGTTCCGGGACGAGCAGAAGCCGCTGCTGAGAGCCAAAATCCCGTTGAACGTCGCAAATCTCCCTTTTCAGGCGGGCGTCGTCGCCGGCGAATCCAAAGAGCTCGCTCTGAACCTCAGCACCTCCATGGATTCCGGCCCTTCCCTCCGATTCTCGTACCGTCCGAACGACTCGAAGCACCCCTTCAGCTTCGTGTTCAAGACCGGCGTCGGCCACTTCGGGTCGCCGTCGAACAGCCCCCTGACGATGAGCGCCGAGTTCAACCTGATCGGCGCCCAAAACCCTAGCTTCCTCATCCACTTCAAGCCCAACATCGGCGATTTCTCGCTGAAAAAATCGCACTCCTCCGACCTCGCCACGAGCCTCGGCGAGGAGAGTTTCGTGAACAACGGGTACTTCAAGGGTGCGGGATTTTCCCCGGCGGAGTCGAAGGCGGTGGTGAGCAAGCTGGTGAAGGGCGTGGAGCTCGGAGCCAAGACGCGAATGCCTCTTCGTGACCTGGCGGTGGTAAATTTCCGGTGGGGGCTCAGGGTTCCGCCACAGGAGGCGTCTGAGGATGAGATGGATGCGGTGGTTGTTGGGAGGAGGGGCGGCGACCGGGCGGGCAGGTTCAGGCTGCCGCTGCTGGTGATGAACAAGATCGGGATCGAGCATGTGGTGAGATCCAGCTCGAAGGAGGGGAAGGTGGGGCCCGGGGAGAAGCGCGACGAGCTGGCAGAGGCGTGTTTGGATGTGAAGAAGCAGCTGGAGGCAATTCAGGCTGAGAATGGGTTGTTGGGCAAGGCTCTGAGTGATTTGAGGTCAGATATAGCTGCCGGAAAAATGGACTTCCTTTCGGAAAACCACCGGAATAAGTATTTGGGTGGGGCGGTTGACCGGAGGGCCGGTGGCGATAAGAAATCGTCGGAAGCGAAAGGCTTTGGTGGGGAAGATGGATCCAAGGTTGTGTGATTTTTGAATGTGGTGAATTTGTTTATATTTGTTATTGCATTTCATATGAATGAGTGAGATTACTTTGTTTTATTTAATGTTGGCTCTAAGTTTGAAGGTTGTTTTTTCTTTTTTTTTTTTCTTTTGGTCTTTGTGCTAAAGATAGAATGAAGGCTATGTAAATTGGCTCATCCATGGAAAAAGTTATTTTTTTTTTCCCATTTCATGCATATTAATGTATAAATCGTGCTTTAGTTTAGTGCCTTTTCAGTTTTCCTTCATGAGACAAACTGTTGAATGTTGAGACCTCTTTCCATTTCCAAAATAGATTTCAAGAGATCATAAAAAAGTTGATTACAAGGGAAAAAGGAGCAAAATGTGTGCATTTTGAAAATTAAAATTATCCCCACCATTGGGAGAGCAATTTTATGTGTTCCTTGTTAAATCTCAAATTACAATTGGGTTCACATTCAGGGCAGTCTTTAAATCAAATAAACTGAACTACATTTTGCAGAAGAACAAAGTATCTAATCCAACCAGTCTAACAGGTTGGGTCCAACATTTTCAACATGCTCATAGTCATAGTCAACACCTTGCATTTGATTCATATGATGATGAGGCTCATTGCTTTGGGACTGAGCAACAAGAGCATCAATTTGAGATTGAATCATGGTCATTTGACATTCTAAATCCTGAATCTGTTGTTGCAAAACACTAATAACCCCAACACACCCGTAAACCGGGTCTTTTATTCTCAAACGAGCCTCGTACGACAATGACTCAGCTGCTTCGGCCCGGCGATTTTCCGGGAGATCCTGTATAATCAACCTCAATCACGACACTAAACTTCAAAGTAATATCAGCATTTGAAATTAGTCAAAATAGGACAGGTTCGGTTACCTGGAGTAGCTTGGCGACATTGCTCGCCCCGTAAATCTTGTGAACGAAGGCGAATCGTGTAGGATTGTTGGAAGGGAAGTAAGGAGAGAAAATGCAGTCCGAAGGGCATCGCCTCCTCAAGTGCTTGCATGCCGCGCAACGGCTCGAATTCATTTTTTTGTTTTTGTTTTTTTTATCAAAGTAAGAAATTTAGCTATGAATCTTATGGTCATCAACAAGCATCCAACATAGATTTTTTCTATGAATCTATGCCTATTTGTAGAGATTTGCCAACAGCTAGAAAATTTTGAATCTCAAGAGTGATAAGGAAAGCTTCTATCATGTTTGAAAATTTTCAATAATATGGTAAAGTTGGAAACTCCCAAATCAGGATGTAATAGTTAATGTTTATTGGCAGTTGGGAAATCGTTTCCTTTTCTACATTTGTGCCTATTGATTTGTTATGTGGATGTGCTATCATTTCACTATTATTTGATTCAACTTTTTTGGTTAATCATTCTTGGGCTATCGGGCGTAAATGTCAATTGAATATAGACTGATCTTGCTAGAAATATTTCTCAGCCCATTTATTTCACGAGATCATAATAATACTCAAAGCCCATTTATTCGTTGTTCAATTTGAGCTCTATTGTTATTTGTGTACATGATTCGCAAAAAGACGGCTTAAGAAGAATGGCGAAAACAGAAAAACAAAAAATTTAAAGTCGAGACACATAAAAGTTACGTTCTCCTTAGGACGAAATTGCCCGATAAAATACTCATGGTTAACGACAAACGCCTTCAAGATATAACGACTTTTGACTTGTATGTAGCAGTACTTAAAAAATACAGGCGTTCTGCGAACAATACTATTATTTAGAGCTCTGCTATATTAACTTTGAAAAATGTAAGGCAAGAGCTCTTAAATTGCAAGTATATTGAATGATTTATGTATGTGGATATTTATAGATGTAGGAAAATACCTTTAAGATGTTTAAGTGTCAAAAGACACCTTTTGACGTGCCCAAATGAGAACATACGCATTTCGAAGCCAAATGACACATTGTGATCACCAAGAGTTGCAAGTGTCAAAAGACACATTTAGGACGTGCCTGAAAAAGAACGGAAGCATTTAGAAGCCAAAAGTCACCTTATGGCCACAAGGGATAACGAGTCTTTGCTGGCCGCGGCGAGCTCCGCAACCTGCTGCCCAGGATGGCTCACTGCCGCGAGCTAGCTTCGCGGCTAGTTACACACCCGTGCGTTGCAGGCTCGTACGAGCTCATATGGACTCCAAGTCATGCTTGATTTTCTCCTAGTTGCCTCCAACAATCCCTATTAGAGTTATGTCTTGCCTAATACATGAACATAACTCATTTTGCTTGTCCAAACATTCGTAAAATCCAATAATATGTAAGTTACTGAAACTCAATTATTTCATCGTTACATTTTTTCACATATGCAACTTAGAATTAATTTATCCTTCACCTTAAAATGGTTTTCAGAATTTTCTAAGTCTCTCACTTACGAAAAATAGAACTGTAAAATCTATACAACACCATTTTTCTTACAAACTCATCATTTTTGTCCAACTATTATAAAATTTGCAAAGTTTCACTCTAAACCTGATTCATTTTCTTTTTTATTGTATCATTAAATATTCTTATGGTTTTTATATGACCTAGTTTGGTGAGTAGCATTTTGAGGTGTTTGCTAAACAGCCAGCCCCGTTGGTTTTGGGCTTGAATGGCCGTTCGCCGGGCCAGTTATGTTGGAATTGGAATCGGTCCGATTAAAAGCACTGGAACGGTTTCAAAATTGACGGTCCTCGTTACAGGTTGGCCCACCGAATTTGGGTTATAGGCGAAGAAGCTGAGTCGTACATACAAATGAGATAGCGAACTTCATCTCACCGCCATTAGTAAGCTCACCTAACAACACACCTTCTTCGTTCAAGTTTTTCGTTCGATTCCAAAACTGCTAGTTGATCAGCTAATTGAATATGTTATTCGCTGAATGCCAGCATATATACACATAATTATATCTAAAAAATTGATGAAATTGTATATTCAGAAGCACGTTAAAAGGGTAGGTAATAGCATACATAACTTTAAATCCTAAAAAAGGTTAGGCCCTTGTTCACAGTTGAATCTAAAGACTCTTTATTTAATTATGATTAATATTTAAATTAAACTAGTACGTGTAACCCGTGCGATGCACGGGCTGTAATTATTTTGTGGAATATCATAAATCGAATGAGATGAATCAAAAAGTAATAAACAATTTAAATTTTAGTCATGAAATGTATTTTTTTTTTTCTTATGTTCGTATAGGTGCTTTTTTGTATGGGTGTGATAGGATATTTATTATCCCCACACTCGTTTTTAAAAGCAACAAATATCTTTTAACATCAAGAAATATAAAATAAAATATTTTGGATATTATAAATTGATGTGATAGATATCAAAGACTGTTTATCTCGTGAAAATGATAGTTTTATGGCAATTTTAGAAAACAGTTAGTGGATTTTGTGATTATCTTGTTTATTATTTCAGTCATTTTATACATCGAATGAAAATGTAATATTTTAAATTATTTTGTACGTTCCATAAGTGATTTAGTTTGTCTAATTTGTAGTTCTTGTGATAATATATATTGACGTGATAAATTATTATGTTTATCAACTGAAATGAAAATAGTAAATCAAGATTATAAAATTGTTGCGTTAATATTGAATTTGTGATTATCTATTTATTTTACGATTTGTGATTATCTATTTATTTTAACATTTTTTTGGTGATTCTTATCATTGTAACTAGTATGTGGCCCGTGCGATGCACGGGTAAATAATATTAAATAATAATTGTAAATTGACGATATAGGTAAATAATATGTATTCGTTTAGGATTTTGAGTGCCACATTGAGATTTTTTAAGATTTGAGACTTTTAAGATGGTCAAATTCTATAGGAATACTATGAAATCTTAAGTGTGAATGTGAGATTTAGAGTGAAATTTTGTATAATATTTTTTTCTTTTAAATCATAACTAATCTTAAAAAGACCTAATAAATCTTGATCTCAAATAAGTTAAATATTTAAGGATATTTTAAGATTTTTTTAATTTTTAAATATCAAAGATGAACCGCTTTTGTTACCAAAAAATGTGGACACAATTTTGAATATACATCCCGTCAAAATATCAGTTTTATTCTAAAATAAAAATTGAACGTGGTTTTATCCAATTTACACACTTTTTTTTTTGAAAGAAAAAATTATTCAATAAGATTTAAAGAATTAGTTAAGAATTATACAACTATTTGTTTCCAAAATTTGTATCCAATTTATACAGTTTTTAAGTTAATTTGTATTTAGAATTGTTTTCATAAATAATTGACACATTTTTTGCATAAGAATCTCTAAATTTGTTACCAAAAAATATATGATTTAAATTTTGGTAAAAAAATAAAATATGATACGAAAAAAATGGGATTCAAATTTTGCCATAAGAATCTCCAAATAAGTTACCAAAAAAATAGGATTCAGATTTTGTTACTAAAGATTCACATGTATTTTTTTGAACTTTCCATTAATAGTAAGTCAAACGTTATATTTATTTGGTCAAACTTTCTATTAATGTATTTTTCCAACAACCTCTTTATATATATATAGATTTTATACGTTGAATGAAAGTGTAATCTTTTAATTTATTTTGTTAGGTTCCATAAGAGATCTAGTTTGTATAATTTGTAGTTAATGTGATATATTTGTATTGACGTGATAAAATATTGTGTTTATCAGTATAAAGGAAAGATATTAAATCGAGATTTTTAAGCAAACTCTATAAATCAGATCTTTACCAAAAAATAAAAAGAAAAAAAAGAGAGATAACATTAAAAAGAAATCGTGTATTAGAATTTATCCAAAAGAAAAACTAAAAATAAAAACTGAATATTAAATGAGATTTTTAAGCAAACTGTGTGAATTAAATCTTTACCGAAAAAATATCGAAACCTTTACAAATGAATTGTGTGTCAGAATTTCTCCAAAATCAAAATCAAAAATAAAAACTGATTTTCATTTCAAAATGTAAAACAAAAATATGCTAACAGACTTGATAAAATAAAAGATATCCATATCATAACAAAATCTGATTTTTTTGGTCAACAATTACTATATATATGATACATTTAATGTATTTGGTGGAAAAACGTTTCTAAAATTATAAAATAGTTATTCTTTTTATATAATGATAGATAATTGGATAGAGTGATTCCAGCCAAGCCAGGCGAGCCACAAAGCCACTGCACTAACGCACCAAAAACAGGCCCATCAACAGAAAAAAAATAAAAAATAAAAAATAAATTAAAGAAAAGAGTATAAATTGAGCCACAAATCACAAATTTGAGCAGGAACTTTACGAGAGAGATGAAAAATGAAAATAGAACCCTAGACCTCTGGTAAGTGCTAAAGACACCACCGTCTTCTAACCAATGTCGACTTTAAATAATTAAATATATATTCACAAATAATTAAATCTGCAGACGAAATCAAGTGATTACAACCGTACGCACCGCACCGTAAAAAGCCAATGACCAAACCCGACGGCGTCGCGCCGGACGCGACGACGGACGGCGGCGCCTCCCCCTCTTGGGGCACCTGGGAGGAGCTCATCCTCGCCTTCGCCGTCAACCGCCACGGCACCGCCTCTTGGGACTCCGTCGCCTCCGAACTCCAGAAGCGGACCTCCGACCCCAGCCTCCCCCTCACCGCCCACGACTGCCGGTCCAAGTATCTCGACCTTAAGCGCCGCTTTTCCGTCGCCCCCAATCACGATTCGGACGGCGGCGGCGGCGGCGGAGGAGACGTTAAATCTGGCGCCGAAGAATCCGCCGCGCCTCTGCTGGAAGAGCTGAGGAGATTGAGAGTCGCCGAGCTCCGGCGGGAGGTGGAGCGTTACGATCTCAACATCGAGTACTTACTTATCTCGTGATTGCGTGCATATAATTTAGATCTGAACGTTGGGATTATTATTATTATTTTTTTTTTTTAATTTTGATTTTTGACAGGTCGTTGGAGTTGAAGGTGAAGAGGATGGAGGAGGAGAGGGAGAGGAGCCTACAGGAGAACAGCGCGTCGGATCTGGAGAACAAGAATATGGAGGAGAAGCGAATCGTCGATCCGGAGGCGGAGGCGGAGCCGGGGGGCAGCGGCGGAGGACCGGCCGTCGGGGAGGAAATCGACAAGGACCAGTTATCGGTGAACGAATCGAACTCCACAGATCCCGAGGCGGAGAAGCCGAAAACCGGGGAGAAAGCGGCGGAGCCGGCCGCGGAGGGGGAGGGTCTGGATCAAGCCGGGCAGACGAGACACGAGCCGGTCGAAGTAAAAACCGAACCGGATCGAAAATCGGGAGGGGAGGAGGACTCCTTCAACGGCAGCTCGAACAGCATAGAGAAATCCGACCGGCGGGGGAAGAAAAAACCGGTTGGATCGCCGTCCGAGTCGGACGGCAGAGAGGAAGCTGCGAAGGAGAGCTCTGATGTGCAGAGCACGGCGAGCAGATCGAGGAAGGAGGAGGAGGGAGGTGGTGGTGATAAGGTGCGGCGCGGGAACACAAGTGGCGATGAGGGTGAACACGAGGATCAATCTCGTGCCGTGAAAGAATTGTCCGCCCAATCGCAGCCGTTGATTGACTTTCTCCAAGTCCTTCGGGCTCACAAGCTCGGCTCCATGTTCCAGCGCCGGCTCCGTAGCCAGGTGATTATTATTATCGTTATTATTAATTTAACAAATAATAATAAATAGTGTAATTAACCTGTGGAATTTATTTCATTTTTACGATGATAATAATTATCAGATTACTGTGGTTTAGCATTTTTATTTATTTATTTTTTTGAGGGACCGTGTTTCAATTATCCGTTTTTTTTTTTTAATTTGATTGGCCGCACCGATTGACCGCTCAGCTAGTCTATGGGTCTACTTTATTAAATAAATTAATTTAGTATTTCAATCATATTTTTCCATGTTACATAAGGAAAAGAGAGTTTTATTTTGAAATTTATTTAATCACGTTAATGGTGTTGGGTTTATATGATGTAATAGCAATACAAATACAGATTCTTGTGTGGGGACAACTAGTATTACGTTGTTGTTTCATACTTTTGTAATAATAAAAAATATGAAATGTTGTGCAGGAAAGCTCAAAATACCAGAAGCTAATCCTCCAGCACGTGGACCTGGAGACAATCGAGAAAAGGGTGCGGCAAGGACGGTACTCGGGCTCACGGGCCAAGTTCTTCCGCGACCTCTTACTTGTCGTCAACAATGCCCTCGTCTTCTTCCCCAGCAACTCCCCCGAGTCCAAAGCGGCCCGCGTGATTCGGGCCCTCGTCTCCAAAGAGATGTCCAAGTCCAAGTCCGAATCCTCCTCCGGTAAACAAATCTCTCTCCAGTCCCTCTCCAAGAAAGACAAATCAGCCGACAACAATTCGAATTCGAATTCGCTGATGCTGAAACCGAGGCTACCTGGCTCGCTAACCGTTTGCCGCAAACGGAGCTCGATCTCGCTCACGTCCAACAAGAAGGGCCAGTCCTCGTCGAGCCCCGCCAATGAAAAGGTTTCCAAGAGTCCCGATGAGCCGAAAATCACTAAAAAACGGACGAGGGAAAACCGGTTGTCTCCCGCATCCACCACGAAAACAAACGCCAAGAACAATAATAGTAGTAACACGACAAAGCAGCAAGAGAAAGGAGGAGGGTCGAGCTCGGATAACAATAGCAACAGCAAGAAGATGGCGGAGTCGAAAAAACAAAAACGTAACTTCTTGAGCCGGATGAAGCAAGGGTCCAACAACGGGGACCTTCTCGATGCCCTCAAGAACACGCCGCTGACTGGAGAGGGCACAGACAAGAAGAAAGGCGTTGTGGAGAAGAAGAAAGAGCAAGTCACGAGGTCGAGGCTGGCCAAGGAGAAAGGGAGTCCCGTGAAGAATGTCGGCCGCCTGCCAAAAAGGGCCGCACCGCCGCCCAGGAAGAGGAGTGAGAACGAGGCTCCGAAGAAGAGAACCAGGAAATTGTAGAGGATTTGGGAGGGGTAGGGGTAGGGGTAGGGGTAGGCCAATATTTGTACGCTACCTAGTGTATGGATGGATGGATTGATTCGTGTTATTTCCTTTTATAGGTTGGGCTTTTTATTTTTTTTCTTTCCATTCTTATAGTTTTGCGTTTCTTTTTTCTATTTCTCGGATTTAAATCTTTTGACAGACTGAAATTCCGTTTTTGAACCCACTTACTAGTGTCTGCTTTTTATGTGTGCTGTATTTATAAGACTAATGGAGCTTGGACTTGGGACAAGTGAAGGCTGTGTTAAAATTTAATAGTGGGTATGTTAGCTTTGGTAAATTCTGATATGGTCCAAGTTAACTTTTTTATTATACAAAAATTTGACACATGGATGGCCTTGATGCTGATCATCTTTATTCAGGTGATAGAGTTGTTAACGAATTAAATGATTTGCGAACACAATTCGGTTCACTTGTTGTATTCGGCTCGTGAAAATTTGAATCCGATTCGTTCGTTTAACTAAACAAGCTGATTAGTTCGAACAATCAATGAACCTCATTACGCAGCTCAGTTTGGTTCAGTTCGTGAAAACTCGAATTCGATTCATTCTTTTAATTAAACGGGCCGATTAGTTCAAACAGCCAATCAACCTTGTCTATTAGATAAACTGAGCCGAACTTATTCGCAAATAATTTGTTTTTTTATGAATTTTAAGTGAAATAGGTGAATTAAACTTATTCGATTTCATATACACAAACAAGTGGGTCTCGAACTTCAAAAAAAATTCTCAAGTACCATTTTTTCATTTATATAGAAAAAGTGGGGTCTCAAACTTTGGGGAAATTATTATTATTATTTTTTTTTTACGAAACGATAGATATATTATAAAAGGGCACAAATGTGCAAAATTACAGCCACCAGCCGAACATAAACAGCCAACAGCCGAATATAAGCAGCTAACACCTGAGAAAACTGGGAGGACAGGTCAAAACACCTCCTAGAACCGACCCCAACGGGGTAATACTCAACAACGCTAAAAGACACAAAAAAACAACAGCACAATACAAAGACCCCCACAGAGTAATACCCGAGCGTCGGACCCCCACAGGGTAATAAAAGTGACACTCGGGCGCACAGGGGCCAACTGCCCAAACCAAAAATACAAGACACGCACAACACAAACACTAAAACAAAACACAAGAACACAAATAATCTAAAAATTTAATAGCCCTTCCCCAGCGAACGAACAAGTCCGAACCAGCAATGCACGATCGACACAAGATGGATCCAGGCCAAGAACCAGCTACCGAAACTGCAATTAAGCCTATACAGTAGTAGAACCCTAACCCCGAACCAGTCCCCATCGACCCGTCGAAAACCAAGAGAGCCGTAGTCCACCCCACCCCGATTCCATCCGAACTCATCTAACACCACTAGACGAGGCCGATTGAACCTCCCCCGTCACCTAACACCACTAGTCAAACGAGGGATTGAGCGAGAGAAAAACGGCCCTCACCCCGACCGCCACAACAAAGAGCGCCACAGTAACCGGGGTTCGCCCCTCCCGATGACTCGCACTCCACCTGTCACTGCCACAGACATCCAACAACAAACGGCCCGGGCCCCACCAGAAAGGGTGAAGCACCGCCGGAAACAACCAAATCCGACAATCGTTGATAAAGGAGAGAAAGCAGGGCTTACCATCAACAATCGCGGCTCCTCCGGTGACTGAAAAGACTCCAATCGCCGGCCTTACTTCGACCTTGAGGTGCGCCACCGCTGTCCGGAAATCCATCAGCAATCGCGAATCTGAGGCCACCGTCGATGAACCATCTGAGGTAGCAATAGAGGCGCACTTCGCCAGGGAGGGGGCGAACGGTTGAGGACGACCCCTAGACGAGCTTTTCCGTCGCCGAGGAAGGCGGAATCGCCGAAAATTAGGGAAGCTACTGCGAGAGATTTGGGGGTTAAGTTTCGTCGCCAGATGCAAGAAAAAAAATTATCCTAGCCTAGGGAAATTATTTTTTCAATTAGCAAATTAAAATAAATAAAAATTTCTCCATTATTCTACAACTTCCCAACTAGTAATAAATATTAAATCTACAAACAATCAAACTTTTTCAACATCTCTGCTAAAAATTCATTTAGTTTCACATACATTTCCCCTTCCAATTTCTCTTCCAAATTCATCTAATCCCAAGAGTGATGAGCAGCGATAGAGAGGTCTGCACAATCGAGTCGAAAGGGGGCATCACTCTGGATGCCCGGATCTACAGACCCGCCGCCGCCGCCGAGCCTGAGAACCCAACCGGCGAATTGGTGGCTGTGCTGGTGCACCCGTACTCAGTGCTCGGAGGATGCCAGGGTCTGATGAGAGGCATAGCCCGGCGGTTGGCCGAGAGGGGGGTCGCGGCCATGACCTTCGACATGCGGGGCGTCGGCAGGTCCACCGGCCGGGCCTCGATTACGGGCTTTGCCGAGGTCGACGACGTCGTTTCGGTGTGCAAATGGGCTTCTCAAAATCTCACGGCCCGTCGCATTGTCCTCATTGGGTCGTCAGCTGGTAGCTGCTTTCACTCCCCCTTGTGTGTGTGTGGTGTGAAAAACCTGAGGCTTTTGATCTGAAATTTTTGATAGTTTTGAAAGTGGGGCGATTTGAAGTTCGATTCAACTAAACCTTTAGGCATTATCCATTGAAAATATTGATAAATGATTCTCTACATAGCATTACAAATGTCAGATGATCTTGAATGTGGAAAGTTTCTGTATTGTTTGAAGCGCTGAATGCTCGAACTTCTGCTACTGTTTCACAATCTCGATCCCTCCACTCGAATTATTGCGTGAGATTACCTGACCATTAGGCGAGTCGGCCCATCATACGTTTGTATAAAAAATGCATACTTTGTGCATAGTACTACATTTTAGTTTAAAAGCTTGTATAATCTGTTGTGTCAAGACTAAGACTACTGCTCCTCTAGCGATTGATTTCGGTTTTGATTGTTAGTCGGAACGATCTCCAGAACGAACTGCCGTTGAACCACACAAGAACCTCACACACACTCACACGATACGGTTAATTGTTGATAGCTTGATTTTCGAAGTTAAAACTTGGATGAATCTATTTATTCATTGTCTTTTGGTCCTATCCTATGAATGCGTGTATATTTACGACGTGTTGTATCTTAGGTGCGCCTATTGCGGGCTCTGCTCTTGATAAGATTGATGAAGTCATCGGGTACGTGAGCTTGGGTTACCCGTTCGGATTCATCGCCTCCATTCTTTTCGGGAGGCACCACAAAGCCGTACTGCAGTCCCCAAAACCCAAACTATTTGTTATGGGCACAAGGGATGGTTTCACGAGTGTCAAACAGCTCGAGAGCAAGCTGAAAAATGCTGCCGGCCATAACCAGATTCATTTAATCGAGGGAGTCAACCATTTTCAAATGGAAGGCCCTGCATACGATGAGCAGATGGCGAATGTAATTGTGGAATTTATTTCCTCGTTGTAAGATTTGATAAAAATATGCTGTCTGTGCTAAAAATGTTCGAAAAACCCATGGTTTTGCTGCAGGATGTGACTACATTTCCGTGTTTCATATCAGAGTATACTCTGTTTCTTACAAGAATTACAGGCATTTAACGAACAAACTGACGATACAAAGCATCCTGATAACCAACAAGTACTATGCCACAATATCATAAATCAGCAATATACAAGAACAATATAACTCAATTACATTTAAAACCAAATCTGAGCACAGAAATCTGTTTTCAATATATGGGAAAGTAGCAAATGGATTTAAGATCCTAACGATCTCTGTCAATCATCAGACATCATTAATCACAATATCATATTAGAAAAAAGTTACACTAGAAATTGGAGTTAAGGGAGATGATGGGGGTAGAGTAGGGGGTCACACTAATCTCTATGGACAACAGACTCATTTGGTGAAATATCTGCAGCATTCGACTTTCAGCCAGTAATCCTGCCAGCACTATCAGGCTCATGGGTCGGATTACGGTAGTCAACGTTACGTGGTCTGCTACCAGAATGTCCTTGCACGGATGGACGATCATCATCATCTGATGGAGGAAAAAAAATGCAGTAAATAAATCAGAAAAAATATAAATATATTTCAGCTATGAAACTAAAAGAATGCAAATGACTGGACAAAGTCGATAAATCTCAACAATAAGACCACAGATACTTATTGATGTCAAGAATTTAGTAGCAACAGTGCATCAGCACAGTATTATGAAAAGAACATTTTGTTAAAATAAATTCTACGATTTTTTCAATGACAAACGACGATGTTTCTGCATTAATTATATTTGAGGTATAAATGGTGCAGAAAGATAGCAATGAACCCAGAGGGAAGAGACCCATTTTTGACATACTGACCAAAGCCAGTAATAAAATGATAAATGTATTAAATGGAACATTCAACTAAAAATTGATGGTAAGCATATTGGATTTCGGGATATCCTCATTACCACTGTCACATACAGCCGCAAGCTTCTCGATCACTTGAATCAGTGTTTGTTCGTGTTCCTGCACCACAGTTGTAACAGGATAATTAGATGGTAAGAATACAACAATAAACTTAACTAAATATTCAAATTAGTGAAAACCTTAAGCATCTTCTTAGCCTTGTGAATCTCTGATAGATCAGGATGGGTTGCATCAAGCACCTTCTCTACCTACAAACCAGAAGAAAATAAAAACCAAAATCAAATTTGCATATATTCCAAAAATATGCAACAATATATTTTTTTTTCTTGTACAGGTACCTTCTTTATCAAGGTGTCAGTATGCAATATTTCAATTTCCTCGTAATCCTCCCTTATGGCATCGTTCACTGGAGGCCTGATTTCCTTGGGAAATGGGTTCATTGAGGACAATCTCTCTCTTCCAGAGTTAGGCCCACCCATCTCACTCAAGCGAGACGCGACAGGATCGTCACCCACCCACCGGATATCCTCTGGTGGAACCTGGATTACAAATATGATTTGAGACATATGACAAAAGATAAACAAATTTAATATAAAGAACAATTATACACACAAATCTATAAAACAAGCAGAGACAGCTTCAAAGTATCATGCAAAGCTTCCACTAATATCTTAGCCTTTACATTCAACCACCCTATTAATTATACAATCTGACTCTGCAAAGTCAAAAGGAGATAAGGTTATGTTAATCTGGTATGCGCAAATGCAAAATTTTGCTTTATGGAAGTTAATTCATTTGTATCAATGCAAAAAGGATCTATTTTTTTTGTGCACCTTACAGATATCCGAAGATTAACACAATCCACGAAAAATATCATAGTGTATACATATATACGGGAGATGATGGCAAGGTTCAGAAAGCTATTCTTAAATTGGTGTTCAGAAAATTTTTGGGCTACCCAAATCAAAGCTACCTACCTCTTTGATATTAACCCATTCCAATGTTGCATTAGGAGTATTGCTATCATAAACCAAAGAATGTCGGCCCTGAAAATACAATAAACTGCCAAAAATTAGATCCGTAACTGAGGTATTTGACATTCATTTATGATAATCCTGTCAAATCTAAAGAAACGGTGATAATCAAAGAGGGAAAAAGGCTACTCAAATTGAAGAAATAATGGAACATGTCGAAATGAAAATTCATATGGATGTTATTTCTGGACACGAATTCGTAATAAAACATGAAATGAGATATTAAAATTTAAAGAAAATACAGAAATGCCATCAAAAACTTTCTACAAAATATACACACATAATAGATTTCTAAGAAACATAATAGATTCCTATACAAGTTTCCTGCATAAAAAAATCCTAAGAAACACTTCAAAGAGACTCCCAAATTAAAGCTCAAAACATAACAAAAAAAAGGAAAAACATACATCAACTGGATTGTATTCAGTTATGAGAGCCTCATAGAAGTTATTGTCTGCAGGCCATCTTATCATCACCTTCCGGCCAACTAACGAGTCACGCACGCTTTCAGAAGGGTCATCCACAGGAGCCCCAGAAGAAATATGATCAGTAAACTGATATTGCACAGGTTTTGCTGGGGGGAATGATGGCTGACCATATGAAACAAAACGAAGATAGACAAATTAATCATAAAGCTAAGTTCTACAACGGTCTATCTAATCTTTATTATAATAGCTTGACCATACAGCATTAGTCCTTCGCCCTCCAATCCCTGGAGTAGGCCCCCGTTTAGAAGCTGAAGTATTCACCGTCTGCGTGTGCAAAGGTTGAGACTGTGTGCCAAATGGATTTCCCGATAGGGGTGCCTTCTGTCTTTTCCGAGATGCAGAAACTGTTGGGCTCTGTAGCTGATTGTTAATACCATTGGAGGCCACATTTCGGCTCCCTCCCGCCTCTCTCCACTCCCTGATCCTGCGAATGAGGTCATCAGCATTGACCTCAGTAAGTAGTTCACGGTGCTCATCATCTGAGACTCTTAGTTCCTTCCGGAGTTCTGTTATGAGACCTTCTTTTTCCTGGATAATAAGGATACGTGTTTTGTCAAACCTCATAATGAACAAGATTCTGGAGAATAATAAATAGATCATGATGCGGTATACCCATGTGAGTGCATCCGATTGTGCCTTAAAAGCCCGGAGAACCGCGCAGTATGCTATCTGCTCCAGATTGTGGATTTCCAATTCCATATTGATTTGCATCCTTTGATATGGGGCTGAGGCTACGAATGATCTTCCGTTACCCGCTACACGACTGCCTAATGGGACCCTAGTGTATATTGGTACTTGGGAATCATCATCATCAGTATCTGCACTTATTTCAACTAGCAAAATGAGCACCCGATGACTCAGAAAAAACACAAAATCCAGAATAAACACTTCCTTGCAATAGCTAAGCTAATGATTAAACAAGCCATGTCCATTGAATTTGGAAAAAAAAATAAAAAAATCTCATAGCTATAACAATAACTGAAGCGAATTAGGTAGTTGAGGTGCTGCAATATTATCCCAATTTAAGCTCAAATGGTGCCCTAGATAAACATATTTAACCAAGAATCAGAGAAAATATAAATTGGTCCCACTCAACTATAATTACCACACTCATGCAGCAAACAGGAAATCGTACAAACTTTTGCAGAAATTCAGATTGTTGTCAAGTTAACCATCTAATCATCATTCGACTCCGAGTCAAGGTAATTCAAGGTGAAGAAGAACTAATTCGTTCGGAAATCAAACCACAACAGGGAAAAGCTCAAGTGGTATGAACCAAACAGGAAAATTCAGCTGAAGTTCGAATTTAAGGATAGCAACTATCTACATCACCCAAACCCTAGCCTGCAATCATGCAAATCCAATTCCTCAACCACAGGTAACAGCATCAACAAAACCACGAACCCCTCTGAACTTCTCGCAACAATAGCTTACAAAACCAAACAGAAACATTAAGAAGCCCCTACAAACCCACCTAAGATCTAAAACTTCAATAAAATGTCCGCAGACTCTGTCAACGACAAAACAAACAAATCAATTACAGTAATGACATGAAAATTATTTCTGACGCATTCTCGTTGAATTGACCGGTGAATATGCCAAACTTAACTCACCGCTGCGATCTATGACGCCATATTCCATAGAACGTCGATCTCAGTCCGATTGAAACGACGTCGTGCGATGCGTTTCAGCTATTTTCTTCAGCCCCGTCGTGTTTTTGTTTCTCAAAGTATAATACGTAGACAAGAAAGAGAGAGAAAGAGAGGGGAGAGAGAGAGTGAAAGAGAGTTCAAAGATGAAGTTTATATAAAGAAGAGTGCCAGGCTTCGACGGTAAACTCCGGCGAGAGGGGAGCGATGAGACACTTATTGGGCCTACGTGAAATGACCCGTTTTGGTTGAAAGCCCAAGATACACAATTGGTCAAAAGGGAAATTTTTACACATACTACATGAAATAAAAGAATTTTCACTTTTACCTTTCTAGAACAATTAATAGGATATATACCTAATCAAGCTATTTTATTTACGCGATTGTCTAGATATCAGTTACCTTTTGTAAGGTTCTCTATCCATATCAGTTATCCTTTAGTGGCGTGATTTACTCATTTAATTCCTTAATTCCCGCAACTGGAATTCTTTAATTCACATAGCTCTCAGGTGGTATGTATTAAGTTTATGTTAGTATATATTCAGTATATGTGCGCAACTGAAATTTCTTAATTCACGTATCTCTCAGGTGGTATATATTGAGTTTATGTTAGTATATATTCAGTATATGTGTGCAACTGGAATTCCTTAATTCACGCGGCTGGTATATATTGCGTTTATGTTAGTATATATTCAGTATATGTTGCAATGAAAAAAATATCTTCCATCAAAAATTGTATCTTCCTCTTTTTTTCTTTTATACATAAAAGTATATATATAGTTTAAAAACATATTATAACATATTACTTATTATAAAATCATATATATACACAACACCAACAAAAAATTCAGTTTATGCTATTTTCAAATAAATTTTATACATAAAAATTAGGCCTCGCGATAAATTTCTTTATCATATACTGAAAATATACCGAGTATAAACCATACATATACAAAAAAAAAATCATCAGTTTATGCTTTGTCAATATAAACCATACATACATATAAGGTAGCCCTTATATTATACAGAACATATACCTTATATGTACATAACATATACCCGATTAATTCATGGCCCCCACCCACAGTCTCCAATTTCCAGTTTTTTCTTCCATCGTCTCGAACTCTTCTGCTTCACCACCTCCATCGCGTACTCCACTTGGAACAGCCGCCCCGCCGGCAACCACGTCGTCTCGTCGGTGTCGTATTGATTCCTGAACATTTTGTAAACTCGGCTTTTCAAAATTCCCGAGATGGGTGCAGCGATTTATGTCTGCCTTTCTCGAAAATCCCAGTGGTGGAGGCTCGTCGGTGACGGCTCGTCTCTTGGCTTCAGACTTGATCGAACGTCGCCCGAGGGAGAAGGAGTTGCTGTTGTTCGGGACCTCTGGTTCTCCCTTGCTGCACGACGGTCGGAACTCGCGGCTTCACGGCTATAGTCATGGTTGATCGGACAAGAATCTGATGATAAATTTATTTATCATATACCGAAAATATATTGAATACCATACATATACACAAAAAGAAAAAAAAAAAATAGTTTATGCTTTCTTGAGAAAATCTGAAATATCAGAATATTGTACAGAACGAGCTGTGGAAGTCCACTTTTGTGGACCATAAGCTCTTTGAGGCTCATTGCAAGAGAGAATTTATCCTCCGTGCAAGCCGAGCACATCATTTTATTGTAACTAAAAACCGAGATGCTCAAATTATTCCCTATCATGACTGCAAGAGTTTGTTTAACTTTCTCAAAGTTGTTCGGCCTGCAGTAGCCTTCAATTAAAGAGTTGTAAACTTCAACATCGAGAATTGAGCCCTCTAATGATAAAACTTCAGCAAGAATCCTTATCGCCACTGCCACCTCCTCCGATCCGACTTCCGCCTCCGTCTCCGTCTTCGCGATTGAAGAGTGTTCGTGAATATGGGGGGAAAGGATGGAGGTTTCTTTGGTTTGAGATGTGAACGTGGGCCGTGGGGTGGGATTGTTCAATATTTTGTTGAGATTTTTTAGGTAAGTGTATATTCAATATCAATTAATGAAATCACACCATTTAATCTATCCTAAAAAAATGCTAAACGGTTACATTTGCTAACACATCATATTAGGTATATTTGTAATATTATTGTGTTTGTTTGACTATTATATAAATAAAAATTGAAGGGGTATATAAGTGTAATATATTTGCAATATGAAGGGATGGAGTGTAAATTCCTCCAAAATTTATCGGGGCTGTTTTGGCAAGTTGGGCTTGAATTATTCAAATCTCCACTTTAATTGAATAGATTGGACCACATACCTTTTTTTTACAGTTGAATGACACGCATTCACATAGATACTAATAGTTAGATGGATCAATTCGTTTATACTATTGAATGTCATGTATTTGGTCATGTTGTTTTTTAAAGTATAATTCTTTTAATAAAATGTGTATATTTATGAGAATAGAATGTCATTAGACCGGCCTAACAGAGGACCTAATCTATAT